CTATAAGATAAATCAACTTCAGATTAATTCATTAATCAATAACTTGTGTCCTTAAGGAGTTAACTTAATTTATATCTACTCATATTCATGTAATTAAGCGTTTTAATGATTTGGCCGATTAATCGAAAAAATAATAACAGATTAATCGATTATTAAAAATAATTGTTAGTTGTAGCCCTAAATCAGATGTTTCTGCAGATTATTTTGAGTCATTATCAGATAAAGACTCAGATTTATAAAGACCAGGAAGTTACTCTTTTTTTAAAGAGTTCCCCTTTGACGTCACTTCCTGTTTCACTTGGACAGCACCAAACTTAGCAAAAAATATGCACATTTGTGACAAAATGGGTCGAAATCATATGAATGATGCCCAATTTCTAAAATATTAAGATATTTTCTTTCATTTTCTTGTAACTGAAGAAAAAGCATGTCACAGGCACAGTTCACCAGCACCACAGGAAACAGGACCAATCATCCTTGAATCAGTGGGAAGTCTGAGGAGAAATCTGTGTTTTGCTGTGAGTGACATGTCCCGTCACATGACTGGACTGGATCTGATCAGCAGCTCATGTCATCATGATGTCAGCAGCACAAAGCTTCAACGTCACTTCTTCCAGTTCAGCAGGTTTCTGAGCTCTAGCTCCGGTCCAACAACATGCCAGTCAGGCTGCGGCACGGCTTCCAGAGACAAACCCTGACTTTCAGAAAACACCTTGTTGTGTTCCATCACTCCATCATAAACTATATCTCTACTGACAGGTTCACAGCTTTAACTCCTTTAGAACAGAGGTTAGCATGAATCTGTTGATAGATTCAGCGGTCTATGACATGTCTGCGTGTCCGTGCACGACTCCATTACCACGGTGATCACTTTTCTATCACGTGCCTTCAGACTGAAAATGTGTTGGGACATGTCTTCACATGTCTTCTCACAGTTAAAACATTGTACCTGAATAAAAAACATTAATAATTTGGGTTTAGCTCCAGTATCTGTGCTTGTAGTTGAGTTTTATTTAACATTTTATTGCAGAATCAGCCAAGTTACTAAACTTGCATTTAAAAACCAATTCTTCAGTCCAGGATGAACGTCCTAACTACAGTTTTAAAAAGATGACAATTCTGCCATCTTCGAGGCTGTCCAAACACAAAGACTCCTCCAAGGCGACCGACAAATTTGTCCTCCTTTTTCCCCCGATTTGAGGGATGGGTCCGATGGATCCTTCTCGGCCCACCATGTCCCATAATGCATCGCGGGCCGACCAGAGATTTTTTACTGCTCATAATGGTAAATGAAGTGAGAGGAAGGAGTACAGTTTTAAATAAAAATCTGGCAGTATAAAAATGAAAAGTTTCAAGCGGTTGTGTTGTTAATGCTTTTATTTTTTGTATAGACATGTTTTTAATATTGTCTGAAATCAAATGAGCTGGTGTAGAGAAATAACCATGCACCTACAGCAGGTCCATTAGTTCTTCAAATATTGCCTTTAAGTTAATTTTGTTGTTTTGGTGACCTATGACCCACTATGGTCAAAGGTTTTGTGGGAACAACTCCTACATTGGTTTTGTTGTTTTATATTAATATTACTAATATATTGATATTTTGCTCATTTTGATCTATTTTTGCTTCTGTTTAGCGTTGTCACAGCCACTTTTTTCTGATCTTCACGGTCGACCACCTAGACCAGGTAGGCCGGGTCCTATGAAAGACCCAGCCCCGGAATTTGGACATAGTCTTCGTTTTCCTGTTTAGTTTGCCAACTCTTGGATCCTGGGATATCTGGGAACGATATGATTTGAGCTGACAGCACATGGCAGTGATGCAAGCAGCCGCTGTGTTAGCAAAATACCACTGGATGTAAACCTACACCATCATTAATAACCTCTCAGCTCACCCCAGCTGAATGACCACAGATGATACACCTGAGCCAACAACAATGGCTTAACAAGGTTAAAATAACAGAGTTTGGGCTAAAGTTTGATGTAGAAGATACTTCAACATTTCATTTCTTCTCATCACGAGATGATTTTAATTTTAAACTCTGAGCAACACTTTTCACTTAGACTGAGGAGGAGCTGGATTTTCTCCAATAAGCAGCCCGAGGTTCAACATTTGAACGGCAGCATTTTTCCCCACACATACCTCTTCTCTGCATCTTCCTCCATACGAACCAGACCCCTCCAACAAGAAACAGAACCAGACCCAGGCCCAGAGCACAAAGCGCAACCACGACAATCACAGCTGAGGCTGAGGAGAGAAACAAAGACGAGCATTAGAACCACGGCAGACAAAACAAGTTCATATTTAGTGAGAATAAATGGCTGTAGAGAGATTTACAGCCCGGTTCTGAGCAGAACCAGCTGGATCAGAGATCTGTACCAGAGTCTGAAGGAGGTCTGGTCTGGACCTTCCTGCACTCCGTGTCAGAGGTGGCTGTGCAGTTCCTTACGACCTCCTCATCACTTTTACAGCTGGTTTGGAGACAAGAAATAAAATTTAATTAGAGCTTAATCAGAAAAAAAACAAAAACAGAAATTTTCTGAAAATCAATGAATACAATTTTAAGAACGCAGTCCTAAAGATGAGAGCTGAAACAGAGGTAAAAAAAAAAAAAAAAGAAGCACAGAAACAAACAATCTTAATTAGAAAAGCAACCACTCATCCACCTCAACCTGGTATTTTAGAAATATGAAGTTAGATAATTAGCAGAGAAAGTTAAAGCTAAACAGATGCTAGTAAAAGCCATATTAGCACAACAGTAGCTAAAAGCTAAAAGTAGCATAAGACCACAGAAATCAGTGTATATCTGCAGCAGATTTGAAAGAGAACAAAGTTTAGAAGGACCAGTGTAGTCCTAGCCTGGTTTAAACCAGACCCTGTCCTTCACTTTGCTCCGTACAAGGGTCTGGACTTGATGCATAGAGAAGTGATACTTGCAGGAGGCGTGGCCTCTGCTGAAGTTTAAAATGATTGGATCAGTTGGCTGCGACGTATGTCGCTGTGACGGAGGCTAAGCTAAGAAGCTAACCGGAAATCGCGTGTGCTGTAAACAACCCTACTGAGAGGAGAAAAGTACCGAGCCGAACGAGACGACTGTAAATGAGAGCTGCTGCTTTGTCAGACAAATTTATTTTGATTTGGAAGCCTTATCAACACAGACTGGCTTCATTCACTTCCTCCACTGCCGTATGCTAAAATAACTAGCAGACACTGCGCAGAACATCGACGTCATTCAAAACTCCTCCTTCTGTTCTCTGATTGGCCCAGGTAAAACAAACTACTATAGACACTGCACAGAAAATCAACGTTCTGTTCTCTGATTGGCCCAGCTAAAAATCTGCCAGTGAAATCCATCTCAATGGGAGAAGTCCCAGACGGAGCAGTGAAGGGAAACTAGAACTGAGCGGAGCTGCGTAGGAAGGCAAGGGCCAGGCTAGCGTAGTCCTGAAGGAGCTGGATGTTCTGATACATGAGGAAACGGTGCAAACGCTGACTCAGCAACCAGACAACTCACCTGGAACATTTCTTGCAGATTTCACAGGCATGGTCAGGATGACAGAACCGACCCGCTTTGCACTGACACTGACTGTTCTGAGTCGGAGTGCATGGCCTCACCACTTCCTGGTCTATAATGGCAACAGGAAACAGGCCTGGTTAGATCAGGGTTTCAGCTCACACTGGGTCTGATCAGCAGGACCAGGTCGGCCAGAGTTACCTGGACGACACTGGAGGCACTTGAAGCATTGGTTCAGCCCGTTGGCGTGCTCGGTGAATGTCCCGTAGTCACATTCTTCACATGTGCCCTTCTTCCCCGCTTCAGTGCAGGGCGTCTTCACATGTTCACCTGCAACACACACCACACCCAGACTTAACCGAGCCCTTCACCCTCCAGCCCGTCATCCACCAGGTCCACGCCGAGGCTCCGTGTTCTTACCGGCTTCACAGTTCAAACAGCACAGGTTGTTGTTGGGGTACTCCAGGTGGTCTCTGCAGGAGGAGAACCGATCCATCCTGACCATTCTGGAGTCAGCACTGCGCGACGGGAACGGCCTCACGGGTTGGAGAAAACACAACCATATGGAGAAAACCTTTGGAGAGAACACAAGTCTTGAAAATGTTTCAGGTTTAATCTTTGTTTTTTATGAGAAACAAACAGAATTAAATCAGTGATAATGAAGAGACCAATACGATTTACTGGACCTCCAGCAGAAATGTTGGAGTTTTCATAACCTGGTCTCCAGAGTTCTGCTACAAATATTAACAAAACATCTCATCAGTTGTTTGAGCCATTTAGATGAGATTTTAATCTTCGGATGCAGATGTTCTTTGGGAGTCAGATTTCAACATGGCCGCCACATCAAAACTATACCATACACCATAACACAACAACAGCTCTGTACAGACAAAAACATTCCTTTCAGATTAAAAATAATCTGACATTTGAAGTTTTAATGAGGAATTAAATGTGTAAGTTTAGAGCTGACTGGTATTTTTTTTACAGAAACTTCCTTGTCTGATGATATGATGCAACATGAAGTCAGAAACAAGTTACAGCAGATCGGGGTCATTCTCACAGCAGACTGACCTGATCCAAACAAACAAACAAACAAACAAACAAAAACAAACAAACAAAACAAACATCCCACTAACACAAGCACACAAACACAAACACATTAACCCACACACAACCACGTGCTCAAATCACCTGATTTTGCCACCAAACTCGTCCCTACCTGTCCAGGTGAATTTAACACCCAAATAAGGTCATTCCTCAGCTGGCCCTGATCCATAAGAAACACCTCCCAGCTCGCGCACGTTCACGTGCTTCACAGGGTTTTTTTTTTTTTTCCGGGTTTCATTCTTTAAGCCGGTAAGAACCGGACAGAATTAGTTTCTATCGCTTAGTGATGAAAACTACAGACCAGTCAAATCAGGCTGAAATCTGAAGCAGCAGGTGAGACCCACCTGGTCTGACTGTACACATGACCCACTGAACAACACGGAGCTGTGTGGAAACTTTGTGAAACCTTCAGGAGCTTCAAACACGTCCTGACACCGGAACACSAAAAGAGCCAAACAAACAGTCCGTTCAGCTAAACTCTTACCCGAACTTAAACCAGCTTCTAGCAGAAAGAAAAGCTAAAACACGAGCCTTAACTTTGATATGAATGAATCACGTGACATCTTTTTAATTAACATCTAATACAACTTCAGTCCTGTGAGTGTGAAACTAAAGAGAAAACAAATTAAAACTCACCACAAATGATGAATAAGTCTCCATCTTCCACTAATAATAAAAAACAAAACAAACTTTAGTATTTCCGAAGGTACACCGACGCCACCTCCCTCTGTGAACTTTGAAACCAGCCGCCTGGCACAAGCTCATATAGGCTGATGACGTCATGGTGGGCGGGGTTAGTTCCCATGCAACAACCAAACCTCTCCCACCAGCTGATCATTTACTCAAACGAGTCTAGAATTAAATAATAATATCAACAAAATGTATATATATTATAGTGCTGCACAATATATTGAAAATTTCTTGCGATAACAGCCTGTGAAATATGTATAAACTGCAATAAATGTTTGGCTCAAAAGTTTGTATTTATGAGTCCATATGAGTTATTTCACCAATCAAATGGAGCCCTTCATATTTTTCTTCATATTTTTTAAATATTCATTCTGAATGAAAATTATTAGGTTTTTTTGCTGTGAACCCAGAGCAGAAAGTCATCAACAATACATATTTATTTATCTATTACAAGTCATATTGTGATCGCAATCGCACTGTTATCACACATCACAGGTCAAACAAACAAACAAACAAACAAACAAACCCTCCTCTGGACACGTCCAAACCATCTCAGTCTGGCCTGTCTTCACCTCCATGACCAATCACCTGTACTGTACCCTGATCAGCTCATTCTTTCTCTTGTCCATTCGTTGTTGTCCCTCATCTGGCTCAGGTGACGTCTTCCACACAGAATTCTACCTGAGTCCTCCTGCCTCCACTCCCACAGGACACTCTGAGTTCCTCTTTCTCCTTTTCCTCTCATCCAACCTGTGGAGCAGAACCACTGACAACMTCTTACATCAGACCTTCTACCTTCAGACACATCATTCTATCCGACACGTGTTTTTCTCTGCTACATTTGTTGTTTGATTCTAAAAGCTCATCACTTCAGTTTTAACATATCTTTGTTTTATTTATTTTTGTTTTACCAAATCTTGTTTTTCCAAAACACATTCTTCAATGTGTGTTAGCACAATAGTTTTCAAAAGGCTGCTACAGAAAGAACCACAAGCCCCTCGTTATCATGGAGTTCAGCAAAGCTTGTTGTGTTTGTAAGTTTAACCCTATCTAACAAACTGAAGTGTGCAGGGAGCAGATATGCTGTCCAACAGGAAGCAGTGGGTTGTAACTGACGAGAACGTCTTGATACCAGTTGGGATAAAAAATGTAAAGGTAGTGAATCAGTCTGTCGGTCATTAAGCCAACATTGTTGGGCAATTCTGAGCTGAGGACTTGGACTAGGCTCATATTGAGTAACTCCTGGTCCTTTGTGCTGTTGAGTTCAGTAAGAGAGAGCATAGATTGTTAGATAGTTCATCTGCTGGACATGGCAGCTCATCAACAACTACACTTCCCTCAGTCAGACAGAGTTTGCTGCATCTGTGAGTTTCTGCACGGTTTACCCCGGCTCGCTCCTGGAACATGTGTTTTTGGTGATAAGGCTGAGGAATGGGCAGATACCAAACCTCTAAGTCACTTTTCCAAGATAAGACATGAATTTTGTTTTAACTGCTCTTCACTGGTTTGGGTCAAGATCAAGTCTGATATWAATGATGCATTTTTCTAGTTGTTTTGTTAAAAACAAACTCACATTAATTTGTTCTATTTTTGTAAATCGTMAGCCTAATAKCATAATWGCCTAAGTTRTAYTTGACCAAGGATGACTTGGGCAGCTATGCTATTAGGCTAATGAAATGAAACTTGAAACTATTAGCATCTGTAACTTTCTCTGCTAATTATCAAACTTCATATTCCTAACACGACAGGTCGAGGTGGGACTAGCTGCTATTTTCTTATTTATGAAAACATTTAGATTCTATAAAGTCTGTGTTTCACTCACACATCATCACTAACTTTGGGGAAACCAATTCAGATTTATCCAATCAGAAATCAGCTCTGAATGTTGGATCATTGTTCTGTTGAACTAAACTGTGTCCAAGTTTCATTTACTTTGTCCAGAGCACCAGCCCCACAGCATGATGCTGCCACCACCATGTCTGACAGCTGAAAGCCTCATCTTGACTCCTCCAAACGTACGTCTGTGGCTCAATAACCCAATCTTTGTCTTGTGCAACCATTAAACTCTAGAAGTTGTTTGTTTTGTTCAGTCCAGCTTGTAGGTGTGGCTTTTGAAGCTGAACTTCTTTTTGGTCCTGAACATCAGAACTATTTTTTTATCTGAGGGGAATAGTTTGGGTTTTACTTTAGAAATGATGACTCATTTGAGTCACCAGGCGTGGTGGGAGCTGTACTGTGTTTAACTCGGGCCCWGGTCAGCTCATTGTTGTGTTTTTTTTTTTTTAGGATGGCCTCCCTTCTCCCCTTATAGCCATCCCCTCCACACCATTATGTTTTTATTTTTATTTTTTATTTTTTTGTGAAGAGAAAATAGAGAGAGAGAAAAACAGAGAGAGAAGTAATTAGAAAGATAGAAAGACTGAAATAGCGAAGGTGGTTTTTAATGTGTATCTTACCCTCTGCCCTGTTAG